CTAATCTCAGTGACTTCCTCATTCCTGGATCTGGGTTGAAGGACATACCAGAAGGGAAAAGAAATGCCAATCCCTGCAATGGTTCTTAGGGCTTCTGCTTAGACATGGAGCATCTCACTGCTGTCCACGTTTCTTTAGCCAAAGTCATGGCCAAGTCCAATGTGAATAGAGTAGGGAAGCAGGCATACTCCTCCCAAGAAAGAACTACATGTTACATGGCAAATCTTTTACAACGAAGGGAGAAAAAAACTGGGAGCAGAAATTACAGTCTACTCAATCTGCCATTTATCTACTAAGAGATGATAGAAAGGATTTTGGAGAGGGGAGCAAATACCCCTAGAAATGAAAAATACAATAATGGAAGTTTAAAAAGTCAGAGGACAGGCTTAACAGCAGATTAGAGACAGCTGAAGGCAGAATAAGTGAACTGAGCAGAAAGGGAAGTGGGTTAGTTGGGGTTCTCCAGAGAAACAGAACCAACAGGATGTGTCTATAGAAAGAGATTTATTTTAAAGAATTGGCTCGTGCAATTGTGAAGGGTGGCAAGTCCAAAATCTGCAGGGCAAACCAATAGGCTGGAGACCCAGGGAAGAGCTGATGTTTCAGCTCGAGTCAAAAAGCAGTCTGGAGGCAGAATTAACTCTTCCTCAAAGGAACTCAGTCTTTTTTTCTCTTAAGGCCTTCATCTGATTGGATGAGACCCACCTAAAAAAAAAAAAAAAAAACCTTCACAGCAACATCAAGACTAGTGTTTAACCAAATATCAGTATCACAGCCTAGATAAGTTGACACATAAAATTAACCATCACAGGGAGGGAAGATCTCTGATTTCTTTTTTCAGTGTTTGCTGCATGTATATAGAAATAGTAATACAACTGATTTTTAAAATTGTATCCTAAAATCTCATTAATTTTACTTAGTCCTTTTTGTGGAATCTTTAGAATTTTCTATCCACACAATTATGTTGTCTGAATAAAGACCATTTTACTTAAAAAAAAAAAAATGATTATCCACAGCATAATAGAGAGCAACAAGAGAATGGATAATATGAGTGGGTAGGATATAAGACATATGAAGGATAGAGTAAGATGATCTATTACACATCTAATCCATGTCCCAGAAGGAGAGGTGAGGAAGAATGCAGCAAAAGCAATATTTGAATATTTGAAATGATAATGGCTGATAAAAGACACTAGGCTACCCATTTAGGAATCCCAACATATCTCGAGCTAGATAACTAAGAAGAAATCGTATCAGAGTGAAACTGAAGGACACCAAAAACAGGGAGGACAGATTACCTTCAAAGGAAAACAATTAAACTTAGAGATGATTTCTTAACAGTAACAGAAGCCATAAAAAGGTGGAATGAATACCTTTCAGATGCATCAAAAACTTGTCAATTGTATACCCTGCAAAAAAACATCTTTCAAGAAAAGGGATAAAGACTCAGACAAACAAAACTATGAGAGTTTAACATCAAAAGATTTTTATTAGATAAAAATCTAAAGGATTATTTCAGGCACAAAGAAACTGATTCCAGGTGGAAGTTGTGATATGAAGAAGAAATACAGGAAAAAAACTGGTAAACATTCTGATTAAATAAACCTTGACTGTATAAAACAATGACATTTTAAAAAAAATTTTCCCCCAAACATATTACATCAGCTAAAAAAATAAAACCCAAAAAAGCCAATAATAATTTAAACTGGAGACCTATTGTACAATATGGTAACTGTAGTTAACAATGTATTGTACTTTCACAAATCATTAAGAGAGTAGATTTTAAGTGTTCTCCCCACAAAAAAGTATGTGAAGTAATGTATATCTTAATTAGCTTGATTTAGCCATTCCACAATGTATACATATTTCAAAATATCCTGTTGTACACAAAAATACATGCAATTTTTATTTGTCAATTCAAAATAAATTAATTTAAAAAATTTTAAACAATAATGAGTTTTAAAAACAACTAAAACCCAGGGAGGGGAAAAATAAAGCAAAAGTTTTTCAAAGTTCTTGCTGTGTTTGGGAAAAGGATAAATACACCAATTAATCCAAGACATGACTAAATTAAGTACACACACACAGAATAAATGAAAACATAAAGTAATATAATAGAAACAAATCCAAAAGTAAATAGACTAAATGATCTAGCAAAATATAAGATTATCAAGCTATCTTTTTAAAAAAATAACACTAAAGCTTAGCTGTTTTCAAAAGACCCACAGAAAACATAAGGATACAGAAAAATTGGAAGTATTATAAAAAGAAAGCAAAGATATATCAAGCAAATTCTAACCAAGAAACTTATTTTGCTGTATTAATATCATACAAAATAGACTTTAAGGCACAAAGCACATTATTAGTGTTAAAGAGGACTGCAATATAATTATAAAAAGTTTCAGTGCACCAGGAAGAGAAAACAGTTCTAAATGTATATGCACTTAACAACATAGCTTCAAAATAGATCAGAATTGACAGTCATAAGGAGAACTAGACAAATTCATCATCATATTAAAATAGTAATAATAGCTGGCGTGTGTGCAGCATTGACAGTGAGCCTGACACTATGCTAAGCACACACCAATTCTGTCATTTATTGAATCAAAATACCCCCCCCATTGAGAGACACTTCTCTAGTGATGAGGTTACTCTAGAAATTTTAACATACTATTTATTCATGCCTCAGATTAATTGGTGTATTTATCCTTTTCCCAAACACAACAAGAACTTTAAAATACTTTAACTTTATTTTCCCTCTCCCTGGGTTTTAGTTGCTTTTTGAAGTCATTATTGTTTAAATTTTTAATTAATTTATTTTGAATTGACAAAAATTGTACATATTTATCAATTGTAAGGTGCACCATTAGTATTCGAACTGTTAGGTAGACAGTGAGGGATTCCAGGTCTCCTAGGGACAAAAGCAGGTGCTTTTCTTTTGCCTTGGTGCAATTGCCCCACCCTAATCCCCTCCTTCCTCCTGGGGGAAGAGGGACCACCCGACGAATCTGCCAATCATAACTTAGCACGCCAGCTGCAAAAGAATGCAGAGAACTCTCTAGCCCATGGGCCAAGCCGCATAGGTACCATAGAATCTGGAAATTGACCTAGAACAACTTGCATGTGTAGTAATACAACTCCCAACTGTCTGATCAAACTGGTTCCGTGGTGACATCTAAGCCACTAGGGAGGTCCCAATGTGAGCACTATAAAACAAGACGCAGACCACAACCAACCCCCTTTTGACCCCTTCCTGTTGCTCTCTGTTTGCTGCGACAGTGGGTCCAGTCATCATCTGGCTTGTTCTTGCCCTATAATGCTATTTTTCTCTCCTCAATAAACCTCATTTTCTTGTTTGCCTTACTTTGGTGTGTCTGGTCATTCTTCCGCCATGAGCTCACTAAGAACCAGCACTTCAGACTAAAACCTGACATATTCACTGGAGAAAAAGGAAAATGTCACTTAGGCTATGCCTCACTGTCAATCGTAAGACACGACTAGATGTCAGAGATGTTAAAGTGTGTGTGTGCAAACGTGTGTGTGGGTGGGGGTGTGTCTGTGTGTGTCTAAAGATAAGAAGAAGCAGCAAATATGGTGAAGTGTTGATAGTGATTCTAGATGAAGGGCATTAAACTTTTCTAAAGGTTTAAAAGTTTTCAAAAAGTTGGGGGAAATTGTGATGAAGGCTTACAGATAGTCATCATGCCAACATGTATTCAATCTCCATAAGTGTTCAAAACACAAAGCATTTTCTCAAAACAAGCTGATCGTGGAATGGGTCTTTGTCTCTGGAAAAAAAAAAAATCTGGTCTGGCATTGCACATTCATTTTTGCTGCTATAAAACGAAAATCACAGCCTCAGACACCTGTGAAGAGCTGGCCCCACAGATCTTTCATCAAGGAAATTCCTTGCTAACCTCCCATAAGGGAGGACATGCAAATCGTACCTGTGTCTAATGCCTATCCAATTCCGCACTAATACTGAAGGACAAGTTTATCTCACAGGTAACAGAACTGGAGAAAAGACATGGTCAGACATTCTTCCACCTGCCCAGGCACAGCTGCATAACTGACGCTTCCTGCACCCCCTTCTTTTTTGCAAAATGTAGATTTCTTGGGCCACCCAAGAAAGTAGCCACTACCTCATCGGCACGGCCACCACCCTACCCCAGCTCCACCTCCACCTTTATCCTTCTCTCTGTGTGCCTTCAAAATGCTGAGCATTTCAACCTCCCTTTTGGTAAAACAGCCACAGCTTGTCTTCGGTTCATGTTTCTCCTGGGCACTTCCTCAAAGTCTTGGCTTCATAAACCGCCACTGACGGAGATTTTTGCCTCAGTCATTTATTTAGGCCGACGCTGCCTAACCTTAGAAATTATCTTGTCCCAGTATCTTTCTATGTGATAGGTGACATCTGTACTCCAGTCTAACAGGACGGGTGTTCGGGGGACAGCTACGTGAGGGGACACTGCCCGTGCTGAGAAGTGGCTCCTAAACAGCCCCACACTCCTGAGCACCATGCTCTGGCGTGCAGTGTCCACACCGGCGGGCGAGGGAGAGGGGCTGAGCCTGTGTCCCCGACCAGCCGCTGTGGGGTTTACTTGGAGGGACACAGAGAACAGTCAAGCCAATGGCACCCACGTGGCATTCCAAGGACGCTGGCAAGGACACTGGGCATGAATCAGGGGAGCCACCTCCTGCCCTGGCTGAGTGTCCAGCTGCTGTCCTGTTACTTGCGTTCTTCCTGAGTTTGAGCGCTCGGAGGCCTCTTTTTACCCACGATTATTCAAATCTCTCTTTCCACATCCCAGAACTGTTTGAAGCCTGGGGAATTAAGGCAACAGTTGTCTTCCCCTTAAATGTGCTTGATCTTTTCTCCCTGTTTAATAAGAAATAATATCGGCAAAGTTATCGTGTATCCAGTGCTTACTATGTGCCAGGCTTTGTGATAAGCACTTCACATATATTATCTCATGTATTCTTTGTGGTCCAACCAACAGGAACCTCAGAAACCTGTAACAAAACAACCCTGGGAGCCCCGCTCACAGCTCATCCCGGATGTGTGAAAATGGCCGCGTCCTCGCGGTCTATGCCCTGCTGGTACTCGGGGCGGATTTTGCGACCTTGTCGAGTCTCTGGGCTGGAGCTGCGCTGGGCTGGGAGGATGTGGGCAACACCTCCCACCTGCTGAGGCTGCCACCTGTGCAGCCAGGAAGTGAAAGAGGAAAGACCCCTCCTGTGAGAAAATGCCCAACCATTCTGGGACCAGAAGAGGCTTCAGCAGGGCACCGTGGGGGTCACCCCCAAGACGCTGTAGCAGAAAACATATGTCCAGTTGGTTTGAAAGGCCCCTGAGGGGAAGAGTGTACACCATCTTTACCCCTCCCTGCCCTTCCTTGTTCTAGCTCTTTCTGGCAGCCCAGCCTTATAGAAAGGATCTCACTTCCTCACGGGGCTCCCGCCCTGCCCTCTGAGACCAGATTAACCTCCAAGGCGTGCCCTGCTCCTCCCCCTCTGGCCAAGGCTCACAGCTGTGGGTCTCGGCCAGAGCTGCACCTTGTGGCCACCTGGGGAGCATTAAAAATGTCAATACCCAGTGTGACATGACCATGACCAATTAATTCCAGCTATCTGGGTGGGATTAGCATCTTTAAAGCTCCCCGGGTTGTCCTGATGTGCAGTCCGGGTGGAGGGCCCTGTAGCCGAGCAGGTGTGGGCCGTGAGGGGCTGCTCAGCCCTGCCTGCCTATGAAGTCCTGCTCTACGGCCTTCAAAGGGCCTTTTGCTTTGAACACCCGACTAACGGGATCCACCCACTACCCTGTGCTTCCGCCAGAAGGTTTCTTTCTGGAGGGATTGTGAGCGTCTCTGGGAAATGTTTTCAGGCCCCAATGCACCCTGCCCACTCTGCTTCAGGCTCCTTGGAGGCACTCCACTGGCCCCCTGGGGAGCCATTCTCCACGCTGCTACCCCTGTCTCTGTGCCAGCACCTGGCAAAGTGCCTCGTAGACTGCACTAAGTAGCGAGTACTAAGAAATGTCTGTTGAATTAATGGATGATAAAAAATGGTAAACTGAAGCCTTCTTGAATGCACAACAACTACACATGCGGATTAAATAGAGAGCTGTAAATTAACAAAACGCCATGAAATGTATGCAAGAGAAAAACAAAACCAGTACAAATATTCCAGGTAAAAGATCGCTTGACCTAGCACTCTGGGAGGTCAAGGTGGGAGGATCGCTCAAGGTCAGGAGTTCGAAACCAGCCTGAGCAAGAATGAGACTGCCATCTCTACTATAAATAGAAAGAAATTAATTGGCCAACTAAAGATATATAGAAAAAATTAGCTGGACATGGTGGCGCATGCCTGTAGTCCCAGCTACTTCAGGAGGCTGAGGCAGGAGGATTGCTTTAGCCCAGGAGTTTGAGGTTGCTGTGAGCTAGGCTGACACCATGGCACTCTAGCCCAGGCAACAAAGTGAGACTCTGTCTCAAAAAAAGAAATCGCTTGAGGCCAATAGTTTAAGACCAGCCTGGGCAACATAATGAGACCCCGGTCTCTACAAAAACTAAAAAAAATTAGCCAGGCATGATGGCGCATGCCTGTAGTCCCAGCTACTCAGGAGGCTGAGGCAGGAAGATTGCTTGAGCTCAGGAGTTTGAGGTCGTAGTGAGCTATGATGATGCCACTGCACTCTAGCCCTGGTGAGAGAGTGAGACACTGTCTCAAAAAATAAAAATAAAAAAAAATTTTAAGCAAGGAAGAAAAATACTGGGAGCTGTGATAAGGGTGGACCCAATGCTGCAGAAGAAAAATCAATATTTTCCCTTTCTTTTTTTAGCTTTTCAGAAATCCTATGTGGAACTCATGGCTAGAAAATAGGGTTTTAAGAAAATGACAACAAATTGCATTTGCAAATGAAATGAAGGAATGCCCATACTCCAGTGGTTTCTGTTTGAAACCAGAGGGAGCGTTTGTGGCTGATGACAGTGTCAGAAGCCGGCACACCCCAGACATCACGGCCTCCGGGACTCTGCGCAGAGAACAGATGCTGACGATGGCAGCACGTGAACACGTGCTCCCTGCGAACCCGCAAGCTGCGATGGTGGCCCCCTGGGGCATACCCCAGCATCCTGTGTGTACCACAATTTCAGCACTTAAAAAAAAAGAAATCATTCAAATGCCATACGATTCACACATTTACAGCACACAATCCAAAAATTTTTAGCAACCATCACCACTATCTCATTATAGAACATTTTTATCACCCCCATTTGGTAAAAATACTCCACTCTTGGTCCTTGCACACACACACAAAAAAGTACCCATTAAATGCAGCTACTCCCACCCCTTCCCTGGCCCTGACAACCACCAAGCTACTTTCTTTGTCAATGAATTTGCCTATTCTGGACATTTCCTACAAGAGGAATGACACAGTATGTGATCCTTTGTGACTGGCCTCTTCCGTTAAGCGTGAAGTTTTCGAGGTTCACCACGCTATAGCACATATCAACACTTTGTTTGTTTTTACTGCTGTATAATATTCCACTGCTTGGATAAACACCATTTTGTTTGTCCACTCATCAGTTGAAAGGCATTTGGGGCTTGTTTCCAATTTTTTTTTTTTTTTTTTTGAGACAGAGTCTCACTCTGTTGCCTGGGCTAGAGTGCCAGCCTAGCTCACAGCAACCTCCAACTCCTGGGCTCAAGCGATCCTCCTGCCTCAGCCTCCTGATAGCTGGGACTACAGGCATGCGCCACCATGCCCGGCTAATTTTTTCTATATATATTAGTTGGCCAATTAATTTCTTTCTATTTTTAGTAGAGATGGGGGGGGCGGCGGGGTGTCTCGCTCTTGCTCAGGCTGGTTTCGAATTCCTGACCTTGAGTGATCCACCTGTCTCAGCCTCCCAGAGTGCTAGGATTAGAGGCGTGAGCCACCGCGCCCAGCCTCCAATTTTTAACTACAATGAATAATGCCGCTGTGAACATTCGTGGACAGGTTTCTGTATGGACAAGTGTTTTCAGGTCTCTTGGGTATACAGCTAGGAGGGGGGTTGCTGGGTCATAGATAATTTTATGTTTAACTGAGGAACAGCCAGGCTGCTTAACACAGCGTCTGTCCCTCCTGTTAGTGATTAGGGCAGCAGGATCACATTCTAGCTAATCTTGTCTCCCCAGCACTTGGAACCGCAAGGGTGCTGACGCACGTTTGCTGAGGCTTCTGCCATGTTCTAGTTCTCCATTCTCCACGCCCATCTTCCTCAGTGCCCCGATGACCTGAGACTCACTGAGAGATGGGGAACCACTTCTTGTTAGAGCTTGGCATTCTTCCCCTCCCGTTCCCCCAAGCTACCTCCTTGTTCTTCTCCTACTTCTGTCTCGGAAGTTCTGCTGCCAGCCCTTTGGCTGCTCCAAGGCTGTCGGTGCACTGGCCCTATGGCTTCACCAGCCCCAGCTGCATCAGGAAGGGGCTTGGGGTGTGGGCAAGAGGACCTGTGTCCTGGCTGGCCCAGAGAAGTAAGGGGAGGAGGGAACTCCCAAGGATTGAATCCAGTGGGTGCAAGAGATATGTACTTTTGATTCTCCTAGAAAATGGCAGAGGGTAGACATTCAAAGAGAAGGGTGAGGCAGGGTGTGGTGGCTCACGCCTGTAATCCTAGCACTCTGGGGGGCCGAGGCGGGAGGATCGCTAAAGGTCAGGAGTTCGAAACCAGCCTGAGCAAGAGCAAGACCCCGTCTCTACTATAAATAGAAAGAAATTAATTGGCCAACTAAAAGTATATAGAAAAAAAAGTTAGCCAGGCATGGTGGCGGATGCCTGCAGTCCCAGCTACTCGGGAGGCCGAGGCAGAAGGATAGCTTGAGCCCAGGAGTTTGAGGTTGCTGTGAGCTAGGCTGACGCCACTGCACTCTAGCCAGGGCAGCAGAGGGAGACTCTGTCTCAAAACAAACAAAAACCAAAGAGAGGGTGGATGGTTCACCAGCTCAGTATCTCAATATCAAGTAATCCTCCCTGTTGCTGTTCCAACTCAAAATCTGCATCCCCAGAAAAATTTCCCTAAACTCTAAATGATTCTCTGGGTCGTGGTTAATGGATTTTATACATTCTCAGTAACACTGGAAAATTTGATGATGCGGGGACCCTCATCGGCTCTGCTTCCTCCACCCTCCCCGTCCGGCCCTTCGCCAGCAGTGCTGACTCCTTATTTCTCCTTATTGCAGGGTCTTCTAGCCCTGGAGGGGACAGCTTATGCCAACAGGCCCCTTTCCTATGCCTGTCTCGGCTTGGCTTTGCCCCTCCCCACGTTCGTTCGCTTCACCTGTCTTGTCCTGTCTGACCAGTCGCTTTGATGGTGAAGCCAAAAGCAAGATTAGCAGGTGAACAGTTTTGCTTCCTCTTGGTTCTCAGTTAACAAAACACCTTCTGCTCAGAGCGAGGGGCCCAGCCCTCTTTGTTTTTCCGGCTGCAGCTGTGGCTTCTCAAAAGCTCACAGGCTTCGAAGTTCATTCTGGCACTGTAGTCTTGCCGGCATGCCTCTTAGAAGGTTCTATTAAATAGCTGCTCTGAAACAATTGCCTTTGACTATGCGCCCACTTCGTATCTTTAGAACAGATCTTTTCTGAGTCTGGGCTTGTAAAACATCACTTTATACAGTTATACTGCCCTCTTATCTTTATGTAGGACCAGACGTCATTTCAGTTCTTAGAACCTCTTCCTATGTACCGTCTTTGGCCTTGGTGGCAGCCTGTATTTGACAAGCTGCAATGATGGACTGACACAAACAAGATATCCTCAGCAGAGGTTTCTCATGCATGAGTTGCCAGAAACAGGCCAGGAGTTAACAGTGAGCTGGAGATTGTATTTGATGTCAGACTCAACTTGTCGCAACTGTGTGGGACATATTTCCAAAAAAGCTCTGGAACCTGCTGTGCCTGTAGCCTCAGAACCCAGCGTGCAGGCTACAGGGACCGCCCACAGCCTCGGCCTCTGCAGCCTGGTCACTGGCCAACCTTGTCTGCTAAGAAACACCAAGTGCCAATCAGTGCATTTGGGCTAAGGGAACAAAGGAGCTCTTTGTATGATTCTTACGACTTCACTGTCAGTTTTAAATTATTTCAAAATAAAAAGGGAGAGAAACTCTAAGCATCTAACCCCTCTGCTAGGGCTTATGTGAGATCGTATGTGGAGGGATACATTTAGGTCCGGGTCCCACCATGAATACCTACCTGCAGCACATTGTGGAAAGGGTGACAGAACAGGGGTGTTTTTCAAGAAACTAGAATATGACAAGCAGGGCTGAACCTTTCCTAGGCTGTCTGTGGAAGACTGACAGGAAGGCAGAACAGACCACGGCTCCCCTGAAGGACAATGTTTCCATCAGTGCCTTTGGTCTAAGCATGAACAAGCTGTCTCAGAAGCGGGTGGCCCCCTCCCCAGCATGGAGCTGACCAATCAGGGCTAGGAGACCATGTGGGGGTCGGGGATGCAGATTTATGCATGGGGCTGGAGTTTGAGCCAGGTGCAGTGGTGTGGAAGGTTCTGTGAGTGGATGTCTATAAAGCTATTCACGATGCCCAGAGGAGGCAGATCCATAGATTGTGCATCTCGTGATGACCTGCTGCTCGTATTAATAGCTTATTTGCTCATGAATAGCCTCACTGTGTTCCCCAGTTCTGTCCTAATCAAGAATAAATCCTCGGCCTAGCGTGGTGGCTCACGCCTGTAATCCTAAAACTCTGGGAGGCCGAGCAGGGTGGATCGTTTGAGCTCAGGAGTTCGAGACCAGCCTGAGCAAGAGCGAAACCCCATCTCTACCTAAAAAATAGAAAGAAGTTAGCTGGACAACTAGAAATACATTTAAAAAATTAGCCATGCATGGTGGCACATGCCTATAGTCCCAGCTACCTGGAAGGCTGAGGCAGGAGGATCACTTGAGCTCAGGCATTTGAGGTTGCTATGAAGTAGGCTGACACCACAGCCCGGGCAACATAGTGAAAGGAAGGGAAGGGAAGGGAAGGGAAGGGAAGGAAAGGGAAGGGAAGGGAAGGGAAGGAGAAAGGGAAGGAAAGGAGAAAGGGAAGGGAAGGGAAGGGAAGGGAAGGAAGGAAGGGAGAAGGAGAAGGAGGGAGGGAAGGAAGGGGAAGGGAAGGGAAGGAAAGGGAAAGAGAGAAAA